GCTTCTGAAGCTGGAGCGAATCAAGGACTACCTGCTCATGGAGGAGGAGTTCGTGGCGAATCAGGAGAGGTTGAAGCCGCAGGAGGAGAAGACGGAGGAGGACCGGTCTAAGGTCGACGACTTGAGAGGCTCGCCGATGAGCGTCGGGAACTTGGAGGAGTTGATTGACGAGAACCACGCTATTGTCTCGTCGTCGGTTGGGCCGGAGTATTATGTAGGGATCTTGTCGTTCGTGGATAAGGATCAGCTCGAGCCTGGGTGTGCGATTCTTATGCACAATAAGGTGTGTTTTCGTGCTTCGGTTGCGTGAATTGGGGATTTTGGATTTTGTGGTGCTTTGGGACGTTAGGGTTTATATTATTTCGGTTTTAATAGGATTATAGGTGATTCATATGCGTTCTTCTAAAATTAGCAATGAAATGTTGTATTTGACAATTCAAATCTAGGAGAAAAAAATATCATTCGACTTCGTTAGGAGGAAGAGAGTTGAAGGGTTTGGATACTGAACAAACAGCTCCAAAATTTAGTTCACAGTGTTTTTGTGATTCAATGATGAGTTTATCCACAATTGGATTCCACTTTACATGCAGTTTTAGCTTGGAATTATCACCTGGGGACACTGGTTTCTTTGACCTTATACTATATCAGCCCCACTAAAGCTTTGCATTTCTCTAATTGTCGTTTGTTTGATTGTGAACGAAGTTGTGTTGAAGGTGCATGGATGTCCTGGTTAAGCATCTAGTGTAGTGGCCTTTGTCTGGATCCGAAATAGTTAAGGAAAGTTTTTCACTGACTCTTGTTCTAGCGGAAGGAACTAAATTTTAAAATATAAATGCCTGCGTATGATGAAGATCCTTCTAAGGACAATAAGTTTGTGATTGTTTTTTGTTTTGTTTTTTCTGTTCTTATGTGTTGGTCTGTATAGTCAAAAGTTCCATTTGGGTGTTGGGGATGCAGTGCTGTTTTTATTTTTCAAAAGAATTTATATGCAGTCATTTCTTGTTTCAGGTGCTATCTGTTGTTGGACTACTTCAAGATGAAGTTGACCCTATGGTGTCTGTGATGAAAGTTGAGAAAGCTCCGTTGGAGTCATATGCTGATATTGGTGGTCTGGATGCACAGATCCAGGAAATCAAAGAGGCAGTTGAGCTTCCATTAACACACCCAGAATTGTATGAGGATATTGGTATTAAACCTCCCAAGGGTGTTATACTCTACGGAGAACCTGGAACTGGGAAAACTTTACTTGCTAAGGTGTGTAGACTTGACACTCGTGTATAAAACCTTCTCGGAAGATAGAATTGGCTGATCCTATAAAACTGGTCTCTGTTTCTAGAATCCTTTTGGTGTTTAGCATTGTTTTCTTTATGCTACCCTATGATGTACTAAGAGGAGAGCCCCAGAAAAATATTACCACAATCCTTTACATCCATTCCATACATTTTATTTCAGGGTCAAACTTGACCTAGATTATTTAGTAGTACCTTACTGGTAGATGTTTTGTCCTTGAAATTTCTGAAGCTTGTTACGTTAGTTTGCTGTTAGTTTTACTTTTCCTCAATCTTTGAGCATTGTTGTATATGCATTAATTTCTTTTATTTCATTATATAAAAGTTAGAGATGAAAACAAATATTTTCAGTATGGGGATTTGAAGGTGATGTTCTGTGGAGAATTGTTGCATTTGGCTTTCTTGATCTCTCTCAGCTGCCTTACGTGAAAACTTATGGTTTCTGTTTGTTTCTTAATATATCTAGGCCGTCGCAAATTCAACATCAGCGACATTCCTGCGTGTTGTTGGAAGTGAATTAATTCAAAAGTACCTTGGTGATGGTCCCAAATTGGTCAGAGAGCTTTTTAGAGTTGCAGACGATCTCTCACCATCCATTGTTTTTATTGACGAAATTGATGCAGTGGGCACAAAGAGGTAATATAAAGATTGTTAACGCTGTTTTAGATTGGAAGCGTGGTATATACTAAACAAATCTTTCTACAGGTATGATGCCCACTCAGGAGGTGAACGTGAAATTCAGAGAACTATGTTGGAGCTGCTGAACCAGTTGGATGGTTTTGATTCAAGAGGAGATGTGAAAGTAATCCTTGCCACAAATAAAATTGAGTCTCTTGATCCTGCCCTCCTACGACCGGGAAGAATTGACCGTAAAATCGAATTCCCTCTTCCAGATATCAAGACCAGGAGGCGTATCTTCCAGGTTTGTGTGTGGTTAGTTATCACTGATTTGTTTTTGTCAGGCTGATGAACTAAATATGCCTTGTTTGATAAATTCTTTTAGATACACACATCAAGAATGACGTTGGCTGAAGATGTTAACCTCGAGGAGTTTGTTATGACAAAAGATGAGTTTTCTGGAGCTGATATTAAGGCCATATGTACTGAAGCTGGTTTGCTTGCTCTCAGAGAACGTCGCATGAAGGTAAGACGAACGAACAATTTGGTTGATGCGCAAGCAAGACTTATATTACTTTGTGGGTGTCATATATGAACTAATTTTGGGCATTTTTTAATTTGATTATTAGCATGTACTGATCTGCAGATCTTGATTCTGTATATGATGAACCTCTAGAGGTGGATCCTAGTTTACCACAGCATGCTGAGCGCATTCTTATACATGTGTATTTCTTTTGTATTTGTGTTTATACTCAATCTATTGGTGACTAGAAGTCCATAAAATCACTTTTTTAGGAGTGCATGAATGTCTTCCTCATTACTTGTTTCCATGTCATTTATTAGTTTAATGTGGTGTTTACGTACATACTAGTAGTTTAATTAACTGTTGTGAAAATATTATCAGAGCCAGACTTTGCTGGTGTTCTGATGTTTTCATTCAGTGGACATAAACTCTATTGATAAATCCAAATTTCATGTTCAGGTGACACATGCAGATTTTAAGAAGGCGAAAGACAAGGTCATGTTCAAGAAGAAAGAGGGAGTTCCCGAGGGGCTCTATATGTAGTCTCATTGTCATCATGTTCTCGTCGGAATTAGTCGTGCAACACTTGTTTCAGTATGTTAAACTTTTGATTTCGTGTGGTTTCAATCAAAGCTTTCGGAACTGGCTACATCAATTATCATGCGATAAAAAAACATAATTTCAGTTTGATCTGCAATTTCTTTGATGGTATATGCTTGAGCTTCGATTTTTGCCAATATCCCATGTCAATTTGCTCTTGTGTGGAAATGCAGTCATCCATTTCATATGTGATAAGCTTTGGATTCTGTAATGTACCCTTAGGATTGACAATTGCTACAATTGCGTGTTTATGGTAATTTTGCTTGGAAGATATTGTGCGCAACGGACGAAAGTTCTATTACTGGGTTAGCTGGAACTTAGAAAACCAGCGATTAGTGGTCTCAAAAATGGTTAATTCTTAACTGTATATTCTGTCAAGCTATCACAGTTTATAAGGTGCAGTTGCATATCTATAGAATGCAGTCTTGTGAAGTTTGAACTATATTATTATTGACGAGGAGCAGCCAAATCTAACACGTCTTATTTACTTTAAATATAAGCCAGTACAAGAAAGTCATTAAACAAACTCAAACTCACAAATCCAAATCAACGTAAATATAAGCCAACACTATTTTTCTCATAAA